GGACGGCCTCTCCGGGACCTCTTCCTCGGGGGACCCTCGGGGTCCTCTTCCTCGGGACGGCCTCTTCCTCGGGGACGGCCTCTTCCTCGGGACGGCCTCTTTCTTCCTCGGGGACCTCTTCCTCGGGGACGGCCTCCCCGGGGACCTCTTCCTCCGGGACGGCCTCCTTCGGGACGGGGCTCTTCCTCGGGATGGCCTCTTCCTCGGGGACGGCCTCCTCCCGGCCTCTTCCTCGGGGACGGCCTTTTCCTTCTGTTCCTCGGGGCCGGCCTCTTTTTCCTCGGGGCGTTTCCTTTTTCCCGGAGACGGCCTCTTCCTCCGGACAGACGGGGCCTCGGGACGGCCTCCTCTTCCTCGGGGACCTCTTCCTCGGGGTCTCTCCTCCTCGGGATCCTTCTTCCTCGGGGACGGCCTCTTTCCTCCTCGGGGACGGCCTCTTTCCTCGGGACGGCCTCCGGCTCTCTTTCCTCGGGGACGGCTCTTCCTAGGGACGGCCTCCGGACCTCTTCCTCGGGACGGGGGACGGCCTCCTTCCTCGGGGACGGCCTCTTCCCTCCTCCCGGGGACTCTCTCCGGACGGGCCTCTTCCTCGGGGACGGCCTCTTCCTCGGGGAGGGGGACGGCCTCTTCCTCGGGGACGGCCTCCTTCCTCGGGGACGGCTCTTCCTCGGGGACGGCCTCTTCCTCGGACGGCGGACCTCTTCCTCGGGACGGCCTCCGGGACCTACCTCTTCCCTTCCTCGGGACGGCCTCTTCCTCGGGGACGGTCCTCGGGGACGGCCTCTTCCTCGGGGACGACGACCTCTTCCTCGGGGGACGGCCTCCGGGACCTTTTCCTCGGGGACGGCCTCTTCCTCGGGGACGGCCTCTTCCTCGGGGACGACCTCTTCCTCGGGGACGGCCTCTTCCTCGGGGACGGCCTCCGGGACCTTTTCCTCGGGGATGGCCTCTTCCTCGGGGACGGCCTCCTCCTCGGGGACGGCCTCTTCCTCGGTGACGGCCTCCGGGACCTCTTCCTCGGGGACGGCCTCTCCGGGACCTCTTCCTCGGGGACGGCCTCTCCGGGACCTCTTCCTCGGGGACGGCTCTTCCTCGGGACGGCCTCTTCCTCGGGGACGACCTCTTCCTCGGGACGGCCTCTTCCTCGGGGACGGCCTCCGGGACCTTTTCCTCGGGGACGGCCTCTTCCTCGGGACGGCCTCTTCCTCGGAGACGGCCTCTTCCTCGGGGACGGCCTCCTTTTTCCTCGGGGCCGGCCTCCTTTTTTCCTCGGAGACGGCCTCTTCCTCGGGGACGGCCTCTTCCTCGGGGACGGCCTCTTCCTCGGGGACCTCGGGACCTCTTCCTCGGGGACGGCCTCTTCCTCGGGGACGGCCTCTTCTCGGGGCCTCTTCCTCTTCCTCGGGACGCCTCTTCCTCGGGACGGCCTCTTCCTCTTCTTCCTCGGGGACGCCCCTTTTCGGGACGGCCTCTTCTCGGGGACGGCCTCTTCCTCCTCTCGGGGGGACGGCCTCTTCCTCGGGGACGGCCTCTTCCTCGGGGACGGCCTCTTCCTCGGGGACGGCCTCTTCCTCGGGGACAGCCTCTTCCTCGGAGACGACCTCTTCCTCGGGGACGGCCTCTTCCTCGGGGACGGCCTCTTCCTCGGACGGCCTCTTCTCGGGGACGGCCTTCCTCGGGGACGGCCTCTTCCTCGGAGACGACCTCTTCCTCGGGGACGGGACCTCTTCCTCGGGGACGGTCTCCTCGGGACCTCTTCCTCGGAGACGACCTCTTCCTCGGGGACGGCCTCTTTCCTCGGGACCTCCGGGACCTCTTTTTGTAAAGAGGTTTTACATCATGATCTAAATAACGTAAATGTACGTAGGAAGTGAAATAAAAAGAAAAAGAGGAGAAAAAGAAGAAAAAGAAAAAGAAGAGAAAAAAATACGAATGAAAAAGTAGAGAAAAAAGGAAAACATGTTGCTTTCATCTGTTGATATTTGATGGGCGTTAGATCACAAGGGCCTCGGAGACGGCCTCCGGGACCTCTTCCTCGGGGACGGCCTCTTCCTCGGGGACGGCCTCTTCCTCGGGACGGCTCTTCCTCGGACGGGGACGGCCTCTTCCTCGGGACGGCCTCCGGGACGGGGACGGCCTCTTCCTCGGGACGGCCTCTTCCTCGGGACGGCCTCTTCCTGGGGACGGCCTCTTCCTCGGGGACGGACGGGGACCTCTTCCTCGGGGACGGCCTCTTCCTCGGGACGGCCTCTTTCCTCGGGACGGCCTCTTCCTCGGGGACGGGGACGGCCTCTTCCTCGGGGACGGCCTCCGGGACCTCTTCCTCGGGACGGCTCTTCCTCCTCGGGGACGGCCTCTTCCTCGGGACGGCCTCTTCCTAGGGGACGGCCTCTTCCTCGGGGACGGCCTCTCTTCCTCGGGACGGCCTCTTCCTCGGGACCTCTTCCTCGGGGACGGCCTCTTCCTCGGGACGGCCTCTTCCTCGGGACGGCCTCCTCCGGGGACCTCTTCCTCGGACGGGGGACGGCCTCTTCCTCGGGACGGCCTCTTCCTCGGGGACGGCCTCTTCTCGGGGACGGCCTCTTCCTCGGGACGGACCTCTTCCCGGGACGGCCTCTTCCTCGGGGACGGGGGACCTCTCTTCCTCGGGACGGCCTCTTCCTCGGGGACGGCCTCTTCCTCGGGACGGGGGACGGCCTCTTCCTCGGGGACGGCCTCTTCCTCGGGACGGCCTCTTCCTCGGGACGGCCTGGGACCTCTCTTCCTCGGGGACGGCCTCTTCCGGGGACCTTTCCTCGGGGACGGCCTCTTCCTCGGGGACGGCCTCTTCCTCGGGACGGCCTCTTCCTCGGGACGGCCTCTCCTCGGGGACGCCTCTTCCTCGGGGACGGCCTCTTCCTCGGGGACGGCCTCCGGGACCTCTTTTCCTCGGGGGGGCCTCTTCCTCGGGGACGGCCTCCTCCTCGGGACGGCCTCTTCCTCGGACGGCCTCCTCTTCCTCGGGACGGGCCTCTCCGGGACCTCTTCCTCGGGGACGGCCTCTCCGGGACCTCTTCCTCGGGGACGGCCTCTTCCTCGGGGACGGCCTCTTCCTCGGGGACGGCCTCTTCCTCGGGGACGGCCTCCCCTTTTCCTCGGGGACGGCCTCTCTTCCTCGGGACGCCTCTCCTCGGGGATGGCCCTCTTCCTCGGGGACGGCCTCCTCGGACGGACTTTCCTCGGGGACGGCCTCCTTTTTTCCTCGGGGCGGCCTCCTCCTCGGGGACGGCCCCTTCCTTTTTCCTCGAGACGGCCTCTTGGGACGGCCTCTTCCTCGGGGACGGCCTCCGGACCCTTCCTCGGGGACGGCCCTTCCTCGGGACGGCCTCTTCCTCGGGGACGGGACCTTTCCTCGGGACGCCTCTTTCCTCGGGGACGGCCTCTTCCTCGGCGACGGCCTCCGGGACCTCTTCCTCGGGACGGCCTCTTCCGGGACGGCCTCCGGGACCTCTTCCTCGGTGACGGCCTCTTCCTCGGAGACGGCCTCTTCCCTCGGGGACGCCTCTTCCTCGGGGACGCCTCTTCCTCTCTTCCTCGGGACGGCCTCTTCCTCGGGGACGGCCTTTCCTCGGGGACGTCCCGGACCTCTTCTCGGGGACGGCCCTTCCTCGGGGACGGCCTCTTCTCGGGGACAGCCTCTTCCCCGGGGACCCTCTTCTCGGGACAGCCTCTTCCTCGGAGACGGCCTCTCCTCGGGGACGGCCTCTTCTTCGGACGGCCTCTTCCTCGGGGACGGCCCTCTTTCCTCGGGGAAGGCCTCTTCCTCGGGGACGGGCCTCTTCCTCGGGGGACGGCCTTCCTCGGGGACGGCCTTCCTCGGGGACGGCCTCCGGGACCTCTTCCTCGGAGACGACCTCTTCCTCGGGGACGGCCTCCGGGACCTCTTTTTGTAAAGAGGTTTTACATAATCATGATCTAAATAACGTAAATGTACGTAGGAAGTGAAATAAAAAAAAAAAAGAGAAAGAAGAAAAAGAAAAAAAAAAGAAAAGAAGAGAAAAAAAATACGAATGAAAAAGTAGAGAGAAAAAAGGAAAACGTTGCTTTCATCTGTTGATATTTGATGGGCGTTAGATCACAAGGGCCTCGGAGACGGCTCCGGGACCTCTTCCCTCGGGACGGCCTCCGGACCTCTTCCTCGGGACGGCCTCCTCGGGACTCCTCTTCTCGGGGACGACCTCTTCCTCGGGACGGCCTCTTTCCTCGGGGACGGCCTCTTCCTCGGGACGGCCTCTTCCTCGGGGACGGACGGCCTCTTCCTCGGGACGGCCTCTTCCTCGGGACGGCCTCTTTCCTCGGGGACGGCCTCCGGGACCTCTTCCTCGGGGACGGCCTCTTCCTCGGGGACGGCCTCTTCATCGGGGATGCCTCTTCCTCGGGGACAGCCTCTTCCTCGGGGACGCCTCTTCCTCGGGACGGCCTCTTCCTCGGGGACGGCCTCTTCCTCGGGGACGGCCTCTTCTCGGGGACTCGGGACGGCCTCTTCCTCGGGGACGGCCTCTTCCTCGGGGACGGTCTCCGGGACCTCTTCCTCGGGGACGGCCTCTTCCTCGGGGACGGCCTCTTCCTCGGGGACGGCCTCTTCCTCGGGGACGGCCTCTTCCTGCCTCTCTTCCTCGGGACGACCTCTTCCTCGGGGACGGCCTCTTCCTCGGGGACGGCCTCTTCCTCGGGGACGGCCTCTTCCTCGGGGACGGCCTCTTCCTCGGGGACGGCCTCTTCCTCGGGACGGCCTCTTCCTCGACGAGATCGGGGACGACCTCTTCCTCGGGGACGGCCTCTTTCCTCGGGGACGGCCTCCGGGACCTCTTTTTGTAAAGAGGTTTTACATCATGATCTAAATAACGTAAATGTACGTAGGAAGTGAAATAAAAAGAAAAAGAGGAGAAAAAGAAGAAATAGAAAAAGAAGAGAAAAAAATACGAATGAAAAAGTAGAGAAAAAAGGAAAACATGTTGCTTTCATCTGTTGATATTTGATGGGCGTTAGATCACAAGGGCCTCGGAGACGGCCTCCGATCCTCGGGACGGCCTTCCGGGACCTCTTCCTCGGGGACGGCCTCTTCCTCGGGACGGCCTCTTCCTCGGGACGGCCTCTTCCTCGGGACCTTCCTCGGGGACGGCCTCTTCCTCGGGACGGACTCTTCCTCGGGGACGGCCTCTTCCTCGGGACGGCCTCTCCTCCTCCGGGGACGGCCTCTTCCTCGGGGACGCCTCCGGGACCTCCTCGGGGACGGCCTCTTCCTCGGGACGGCCTCTTCCTCGGGGACGGCCTCTTCCTCGGGGACGGCCTCTTCCTCAGGGGACGGGCCTCCGGGACCCTTCCTCGGGACGGCCTCTTCCTCGGGACGCCTCTTCCTCGGGGACGGCTTCCTCGGGGACGGCCTCTTCCTCGGGGACTGGGGACGCCTCTTCCTCGGGGACGGCCTCTTCCTCCGGGACGGCCTCTTCCTCGGGACGGCCTCTTCCTCGGGGACGGGGCTCTTCCTCGGGACGGCCTCTTCCTCGGGGACGGCCTCTTTCTTCTTCTCGGGGACGGGGACGGCCTCTTCCTCGGGGACGGCCTCCTCTCGGAGACGGCCTCTTCCTCGGGGACGGCCTCTTTCCTCGGGGACGGCCTCTCTCCTCGGGGGCCTCCGGACCTTTCTCGGGGACGGCCTCTTCCTCGGGGACGGCCTCTTCCTCGGGGACGGCCTCTTCCTCGGGGACGGCCTCTTCCTCGGGACGACCTCTTTCCTCGGGACGCCTCTTCCTCGGGGACGGCCTCCGGGACCTTTTCCTCGGGGATGGCCTCTTCCTCGGGGACGGCCTCCTCCTCGGGGACGGCTCTTTCCTCGGGACGGCCTCCGGGACCTCTTCCTCGGGGACGGCCTCTCCGGGACCTCTTCCTCGGGACGGCCTCCTCGGGACCTCTTTCGGGACGGCCTCTTCCTCGGGACGGACGGCCTTCCTCGGGGACGGCCTCTTCCTCGGGACGGCCTCTTTTCCTCGGGACGGCCTCTTCCTCGGGGACGGCCTCCTCCGGACGGCCTCTTCCTCGGGGACGGCCTCTTCCTCGGGGCCGGCCTCCTTTTTCCTCGGGGCCGGCCTCCTTTTTCCTCGGGGCCGGCCTCCTTTTTCCTCGGAGACGGCCTCTTCCTGGGGACGCCTCTTCCTGGGGACGGCCTCCGGACCTCTTCCTCGGGGACGGCCTCTTCCTCGGGACGGGGAACGGCCTCCGGGACCTTTTCCTCGGGGACGGCCTCTTCCTCGGGGACGGCCTCTTCCTCGGCGACGGCCTCCGGGACCTCTTCCTCGGAGACGGCCTCTTTCCTCGGGACGGCCTCTTCCTCGGTGACGCGTCTTCTTCTCGGGACGCCTCTTCCTCGGAGACGGCCTCTTCCTCTGGGACGCTCTCCTCGGGGACGACCTCTTCCTCGGGACGGCCTCTTCCACGGGACGGCTTTCCTCGGGGACGGCCTCTTCCTCTGGGTGGACGTCCTCCGGGGCCTCTTCCTCGGGACCCTCTTCCTTTCGGGGACGGCCTCTTCCTCGGACAGCCTCTTCCTCGGGACACCCTTTTCCTCGGAGACGACTCTTCCTCGGGGACGGCCTTTTCTTCTTTCCTCAGGGGACGGCCTCTTCTTCTCGGGGAAGGCCTCTTCCTCGGGAGGCCTCTTCCTACGGGGACGCCTCTTTCCTCGGGGACGGCCTCTTCCTCGGGGACGGCTCTTCCGGGAACCTCTTCCTCGGAGACGACCTCTTCCTCGGGGACGGCCTCCGGGACCTCTTTTTGTAAAGAGGTTTTACATAATCATGATCTAAATAACGTAAATGTACGTAGGAAGTGAAATAAAAAGAAAAAGAGGAGAAAAAGAAGAAAAAGAAAAAGAAGAGAAAAAAATACGAATGAAAAAGTAGAGAAAAAAGGAAAACGTTGCTTTTCATCTGTTGATATTTGATGGGCGTTAGATCACAAGGGACCTCGGGAGACGGCCTCCGGGACCTCTTCCTCGGGACGCTCTTCTCGGGACGACCTCTTCCTCGGGGACGGCCTCTTTCCTCCGGAACGGGCCTCTTCCTCGGGGACGGCCTCTTCCTCGGGGACGGCCTCTTCCTCGGGGACGGCCTCTTCCTCGGGGACGGCCTCTTCCTCGGGACGGCCTCTTCCTCGGGGACGGCCTTCTTCCTTCCGGGGACGGGGGACGGACCTCTTCCTCGGGGAGGACGGCCTCTTCCTCGGGGACGGCCTCTTCCTCGGGGACGGCTGCATTCTCGGGGACGGCCTCTTCCTCGGGAGAGGCCTCCGGGACCTTGCCTTCCTCGGAGACCGAACCTCTTCCTCGGGACGGCCTCTTTCCTCGGGACGGCCTCCGGACTCTTCCTCGGGTGACGGCCTCTTCTCGGGGACGGCCTCTTCTCGGGGAACGGCCCATCTTCCCTCGAGACGGCCTCCGGGGACCTCTTCCTCGGAGACAGGCCCTCCGGGACCATCTCCTCGGGACAGCCCTGCTTCCTCGGGACGGCCTCTTCCTCGGGGACGGCCTCTTCCTCGGGGACGGACCTCTCGGGACCTCTTCCTCGGGGGACGGCCTCTTTCCTCGGGACGGCCTCTCTTGTTGGGACGGCCTCTTCCTCGGGGACGGCCTCTTCCTCGGGGACGGCCTCTTCCTCGGGGACGGCCTCCGGGACCTTTTCCTCGGCGGACCGCCTCTTCCTTGGGACGGTCTCCGGACCTCTTCCTCGGAGACGACCCATCTTCCTCGGGGACGGCCTCTTCCTCGGGGACGGCCTCTCCGGGGGCCTCTCTTTTGTAAAGAGGTTTTACATCACATAATCATGATCTAAATGACGTAAATGTACGTAGGAAGTGAAATAAAAAGAAAAAGAGGAGAAAAGGAAGAAAAAGAAAAAGAAGAGAAAAAAATACGGATGAAAAAGTAGAGAAAAAAGGAAAACATGTTGCTTTCATCTGTTGATATTTGATGGGCGTTAGATCACAAGGGCCTCGGAGACGGCCTCCGGACCTCTTCCCGGGGACGGCCTCCCGGGACCTCTTTCCTCGGGGGACTCGGGGCCTCTTCCTCGGGGACGGCCTCTTCCTCGGGGACGGCCCTCTTCCTCGGGGAACCTCTTCCTCGGGGGGCCTCTTCCTCGGGGGCGGCCTCTTCCTCGGGGACGGCCTCTTCCTCGGAGACGGCCTCTTCTCGGAGCGGCCTCTTCCTCGGGGACGGCCCTTTCCTCGGGGACGGCCTGTTTCCTCGGGGACGGCCCTCTTCCTCGGGGACGGCCTCTGGGGGGACCTCTTCCTCGGAGGCTCTCCGGGACCTCTTCCTCGGGGACGGCCTCTTCCTCGGGGACGGCCTCCGGGACCTCTTCCTCGGGGACGGCCTCTTCCTCGGGGACGGCCTCTCCTCGGGGACGGCTTCCTCGGGGACGGCCTTCTCGGGAACCTCCTCGGGGACGGCCTCTTCCGGGACGGCCCTTCCTCGGACGGTCGGGGACGGCCTCCTTTTTCCTCGGAGACGGCCTCTTCCTCGGGGACGGCCTCTTCCTCGGGGAACGACGCCTCTTCCTCGGGGACGGCCTCTTCCTCGGGGACGGCCTCTTCCTCGGGGACGGCCTCCTTTTTCCTCGGAGACGGCCTCCTTTTTCCTCGGAGACGGCCTCTTCCTCGGGGACGGCCTCTTCCTGCGGGGACGGTCTCCGGACCTCTTTTTGTAAAGAGGTTTTACATAATCATAGATCTAATACGTAAATGTACGTAGGAAGTGAACCTTTTCCGTCCCGAGGAAAAGTCCGGAGGCCGTCCCCGAGGAAAAAGGTCCAGGAGCCGTCTCCAAGGAAAAAGGTCCCGGAGGCCGTCTCCAAGGAAAAAGTCCCCGGAGGCCGTCCCCGAGGAAAAGGTCCGGAGACCGTCCCCGAGGAAAAAGGTCCCGGAGGCCGTCCCCGAAGGAAAAGGTCCTGGAGCCAGTTCCCCGAGGAAAAGGTCCCGGAGGCCGTCCCCCGAGGAAGAGGTCCGGAGGCCGTCCCCGAGGAAAAGGTCTCGGAAGGCCGTCCGAGGAAAAGGTTAACCGGATGCCGTCTCCAAGGAAAAGGTCCGGAGACCCGGACAGTGCTGTGAAAACCGCTGTTTGCGCCGTTCCGAAGGAAGGAGGAAAAGGTCCGGAGGCCGTCCCCGAGGAAAAGGTCCCGGAATCCGTCCCCGAGGAAAAGGTCCCGGAGGCCGTCTCCAAGGAAAAGGTCCCGGAAGGCCGTCTCCCAAGGAAAAGGTCCCGGAGCCGTCTCCAAGGAAAAAGGTCCCGGAGGCCGTCCCCGAGGAAAAGGTCCCGGAGGCCGTCCCCGAGGAAAAGGTCCCGGAGGCCCGTCCCGAGGAAAAGTCCCAGGAGGCGTCCCCAGAGGAAAAGGTCCCGAGCCGTACCCAGAGCCTAGTAGAACCCCGTATGTAAGGCGACTCAACATGACAGCGGAGCTCTCGACGACGGTGCGCAGCCTGAGAAGGAAGGAGCCCACGAAGAGCGGGTGATTGGCGTCCTCAGTTGCCTTCAGCCAGCTCAGTAGAATTTGGATAATCAATAAATAATAAATAGTAATAATAATCAATGATAATAATTAATAATACTGATGAAAAATGATGAATTTCTATCCCTTATATGATTTTTGATGATAAAATAACGCACAGGAACAAACACAACAAAGATAAAGCAAGAATGGAATGTGGTTTTAAACCGTAGATTTTAGTAGCAATTATCTTTTAATCCCGGTCTCTCTCTCTCTCCTCTCTCTCTCTCTCTCTCATCTCTCATCTCTCTCTCTCATCAACTCTCTCTCTCATCTCTCCTCTCTCTCTCTCTCTCTCTCTCTCTTTCTCTCTCCTTCTCCTCTTTCTCTCTCTTCTCTCTCTCTCCTCTCTCTCTCTCCTTCTCTCTCTCTCTCTCTCTCTCTCTCTCTCTCTCTCTCTCTCGCTCTCTCTCCTCTCTCTCTCTCTCTCTTCTCTTTCTCACCTCTCAATTCTCTCTTTTCTCTCTCCCTTACTCTCTCTCTCTCCCTTTCTCTCTTTCTCTCTCCCTTCTCTCTTTCGCTCTCCCTTCTCCTCTTTCTCTCTCCCTTCTCTCTTACGAATGAAAAAGTAGAGAAAAAAGGAAAACATGTTTCTTCATCTGTTATATTCTGATGCCTCGGGGACGCCTCGGACCTTTCCTTCCGGCGGGACCTCTTCCTCGGACGGCCTCTTCCTCGGGGACGGCCTCTTCCTCGGGGACGGCCTCTTCCTCGGGACGGACCTCTTCCTTCGGGGACGGCCTCTTCTCGGGGACGGGCCTCTTCCTCGGGACGGCCTCTTCCTCGACGGACGGGACCTTTTCCTCGGGGACGCCTCTTCCTCGGGGACGGGGCCTCTCCTCGGGACGGCCTCTTCCTCGGACGGCCTCTTCCTCGGGGACGGCCTCTTCCTCGGGACGGCCTCTTCTCGGGGACGGCCTCTTCCTCGGAGACGGCCTCTTCCTCGGGACGGCCTCTTCTCGGGGACGGCCTCCGGGACCTTTTCCTCGGGGACGCCTTCCGGACCTCTTCCTCCTCGGCCTCTTCCTCGGGGACGGCCTCTTCCTCGGGGACGGCCTCTTCCTCGGGGACGGCCTCTTCCTCGGAGACGGCCTCTTCCTCGGGACGGCCTCTCCTCTTCCTCGGGACGGCCTCCGGGACGGCCTCTTCCTCGGGGACCTCTTCCTCGGGACGGGGACGGCCTCTTCCTCGGGGACGGCCTCTTCCTCGGGGACGGCCTCTTCCTCGGGGACGGCCTCTTCCTCGGGGACGGACCTCTTCCTCGGGGACCTCTTCCTCGGGACGGTCCGGGACCTCTTCCTCGGGGACGGCCTCTTCCTCGGGACGGCCTCCGGGACCTTCTTCCTCGGGACGGCCTCTTCCTCGGGGACGGCCTCTTCCTCGGGGACGGCCTCTCCTCGAGACGGACAGCCTCTTCCTCGGGGCCTCTTCCCGGGACCTCTTCCTCGGG